ACAGCAAAGCTGTGCTTTTCCCGATGCTCTCATTCCTTTGCTTCATCCTGTACGTTTTTTTTTTCCACCTTTAAATCAACTTTCACGCGTTTTTCAACGTAACAGTTTGTGATTTATCAGCACATTTCTTTTCACCGTCTTCAACTCGAGAGCCACAAAAGCTAGGAGGCTAAAATTTCAGGGGAATGTTCCACGCCTGCACGCGACCCTGCAAGTCGAAATTTAGCTTTCACGTACGTTCAGTCCTCACGTGCGAACACGTAATAATTTCGGCGACAAAATTACTAACCGGGACCACAAAAAATAAAAAGTTCAAAATTTTGGGGTAATTTTTCAAGCCCATATGAAATTTCAAAAATTTGAATTTCGCTTCCACTTGTGCTTGAGTCAAATTTTTGAACCGTAAGAGTTTTGGCGTAAAATTTTCTGCCTCGGAACTGGCAATTTGGAAAGCCAAAAATTTAGCATGATGGCTCCTCTAAATATACAACCTTGGCACTTCAAATTCAGTCTTCATACACATAAGATTTTAAATGGGGGATTTTTAGTTCGAGAACTAGAAGCTAAAGGTACGTGGAATTTTGTACTTTTTCGCATACCAAATTGTAAAACAGTGTATATTCCTAACAGCAATTTTTCACTGGGTTTGATTGCGTAAAACCCATGATTACAACCCTGGTGCGTGTCTGTTACTATTTATTTTCCATCGTCTCCACTCCAGTTGTTTTTAAGCCCGGTGTATCCACCTACTCCCGCTCAGACATTTATTTGAGTCCTTTGTTTACATCGGAGGATGGAATGGGAAACGTTCTCACAGTTCGCTCAGTAACTACAGATTATTTGTGTAAATTCGCTGAAGACTAAACAGCTGAGAAGATATCGTAAACTGTGTTTAAAACGAACCAGTATTTGGGCATCACCCATGACCAGATTGTTAATAAAACTGGAGAAAATGTCCGAAAGCCAAGTAACTTTTGAGCACATGGAAATTTCATGTTTCCGTTTTCGATTCAACAGTCTAACGATGACTCTTTCTTAAAAAACGATAATTTTTAAGCTAAAAATGTTTATCAAAAAATGCCGCAACCCGGATTTTGCACGACTTTTCAAGTCCTTGGAAATGAAGCTGAAAGAGCAAGCTAATTTTGCTCGAGAAATTCTTGATACAACAAGCGTGGATCTCACTGATGAAATGTTGCTGGTACGTTTTTGCAGTTTTTTTCTTATTTCAATCAGGCAACTGCTATTTTCTGCAGCATCGGGACTGTCTACTTTCCTTTTCTCTGGTTCTTGGTTTGCTGCACGAAACTCCATATATTCGAGCGGTTTGTCCGAAGCAGCTGACAAAGCTTTAGCCGTTGTGTAGTGTTGTTCCTGAGGAGTCTTCAAGATTGGATCATCTCAGTGCTGAGGTACCTA